TGTTGATCTTTTTCGTCTTGACTAAAGACTATTATATAAATACTCACCCTATTCTTTTAGCAGTTATTTGAAAAGCATGTACACAATAAGACATCAGTCTTTTCCTTTCCTTCAGATATGATTAAATTCATTGGAACACACAATAGATCGCGAGACTGACACATGCATGCAAATATTTAACACAGACAGTTGAAGCTGCATACTTCAATTAGCCATCATTATCATCGTCAAAGACACATCATCATTTTTTACAACAATACGAAATCAAAAACACTCAGACAAAAAATTGAAAAAAAAGAAAAAGAAAGAATGTTCATTCACAAATGTCTGTAACGCGATAAGCTTGCTGCGATCGATCAAACAGAAAAAAAAATAAGCAAGCATATAATAAGGTGAAGAGAAAATCTCAAACACGCTAGACGCACGACATATATTAAACATGAAAGAGTGACAGGCGAATGAACAGACTACTTGCATGCATGCTCACTTGTCCGCAGATAATGGACTCGTATGCACACTGCATTATTCTCTTGAGAGGAATTTTTTTTCTGGCTGATTTCACACACACACACACACACGCATACATATATATATATATGTATTAAAAACTTATGTTCAGTCTATCTAAATTTGAATAAAAATGACTAATATTATGTTTATTAGATTTACTGTTTTTCTTTATAGTAACTCACAAAAAAGTAATTTCCTTTTCTCTGTCGTTCTTATAAATGAGTACATATAAAAACTCTTTTTAAACAATTAATAATCACTTCATAGAAAAAAAAGAATGTGTAAATTATATCAAATTTTTCTTTTTTTTTTTTTTTTTTTTTTTTTTGTTACAAAATTGCATCATCAACATTAAATTCGAGAAAAAGCAGCTGACATGTTACATCAAATTTTATTTATAAAAACAAAAAAAAATGTTATTCATAACAAACTCTACCAGACATTAATCATTGATAAAATATTTGTTATTAATCCGATCTATTTCTACTTATCACCGTGCAAATCTGGAAATGATTCATTTCATATTAAACATTTTATCTATAGATCAAGGTCAAACAAAATGCGTTTTTACACATGGGAATATTCTCTCATTATTCTTTGTCTCAACATAATAAGCATTGCTTTTGTTTGTTATTGTATCAAGAGACTATACTGTTGACTATCATAGTTTGTTTTTAATACGTTCTAAAATGATAGTAATAAAGTATGCATATTTTTATCAAGCGAATCAAGATTTTCTTTATATTTGATCATTAGCAACCCCTTTATTTATTTTTTTGTTTATTTTTTTGATACATGTAATCAGATAAGAAAGGAAAAAAAAGAAACAATAAACACGTATTAAACTATATTGTTTGATTCTCTTTTTTTTCTGAAATGCAGAGAATATGTATTAAACAGCACCGGTTTGTTTGATGTGTTCACAATTCTGTATAACTATAATCACGATTAATTCCAATCATACGAAAAACTAATGGACATGTAAAAGCAATATTAAATCCAATTACAAAATAAGTTAAATAATAATAAGGTAATTCAACTTTAGCAAGACGTTTTATTTCTGGATCTTTCCAATCAAGTCCATATATAAGAGATGTTATACGTAAAACAATTGTTTTCACTATTTGTCGTGTAGCATAAATAATTAGTAAACCAATTATTGTACGTAAAACACAAAAACCTAAATTTGGTGTTATTATCGAATAAATTGGCGGCGTTAATGGTCTTTCCAAAAGATCAAATTTTTGCATTATTGTTGCTGATGATAATAAACCAAATGTACTACCTAATATAACAGTTGTATCTGAACGAGCTGTTGACCATTCTTGTATACTTGGATAACATTTTATTAAAAATATCCCCAAACAAAAATTAAGTAAAGGTGCTAAAGTAAAATTTAATTGAAAATTATCAATTATATTAACATATGGAAACATTATATAAATCAATAATAATGCATATGCTGTACCACCTATGATATCCTATAAAAAAAATATCACACTAGATAAAATACTAGAAAATTGATATTCTAAAAAAATGCTCTAATCTTTAGTTTCAGATTACAATTTTCAAAACAATCACATACGATTTCGAAATATGTACGAATGTATTCCACGTAGAAGAAAAATGTTTTGAACAATAACAATGAGTACAGCGACAAAAAAATATATTGACACTAAAGAACATTATGTCAGTTATCAGTGTCTGACATAAGTCAAGTTTTAGTGACCCTAATGCATCTGTATCTGATTCAATGTGATCAACGTATATAATGATCAGCCCGGGAACTGGAAATGATAAGCACGCAAAAATATGACGATAAATATGACAAATGTATATGGATGTTAATCTTCTCTTCATTTCCATCCGCACGCACATACAGATCCATACTCAAGGAGGAAACAGAAGAATGAAGTCTCTGCTGTTCCTATCTCGCTCATATCCTTTACCATCACCTTTTTTACGTGCTGAATGTCCTTGTGCTTATCGTTCGCCAATCCAATCTAACATCAAGTATTTTTTCCGTGATCTAATTTGACTCGAATCAGACTCTAGAGACTATAAATCAAAATTAACTTACCATAAGACACATGTTTTCTCAGGTGATATCATTAATTTCCCTTCAAACAAACTATAACGAACGAATATTTTGTCTATATAGATATTCAATCCATTCACTATCATGTAATACGAGAAGTATAGCGCCGCTTCATTTATAAACACATGTCATTTAACATCACATGATTACGATCTTCTTCTCAAGTGTACATAAAAGTAAAAATGAAACCTTTCTATTCTCAAACACTTGAAGAAAAAAATCTTTTTTTTTTAAACTTCAATCAAAATTTGATGAACTTTCATTATGAATTCATCTATTCATACGTACAAGAAATGTATGCATGCCAAGATATATTCGACTAAGACAAACCCATATACATACAATAGCTGCACAAACTAATCCAATCCAAATCTTAAACTGAATACAAAAAAAAAAGAAGAAAGCAATCAAATTCTATTATAATTTTATAAATTAATTAAATTTACATCATATCGTTCATGCGAAAGAAGAACAAGTGAAAGTGGAATACCAGTTGCAAACATAGCATGTGTAGAAGGAAAACCATATTCTCGAATATAACTAAATATAAAGAAAAAAGTGAATTTATAAAAAAAAAAAAAAGAAAATAATTTTTACCGTTTTTCTAATTGTAAAACAGGTGGTGATGATGGTCTTGGTATACCTAAAATATCTTTAGTTGCTTGTCCAATATACATAAAATATACCCAAAGTATTGAAACTTTTCTTGCTACACAACCATCAACATTCCATATCCTTAAAAATAAAAATCTTAATAATATTTTATCAATCAATCAAAAAAATAAAACGTTACCATGTTGGAAAAAATAAAATATAAAAAATTTCATTTCCAAGTGCAGAACCAATTTGAAAAAAATAATACCAAAACCATGATGTTACTTTATAATCAATTTCAGAAGAAATATTTTTCTTATTTGAATTTTGATTTGAACTATGTTTTATTTCTTGTATACATTCATCTAATACATTTTTATCATAAGTTATTTTTCTTTCATGATGTGGATGATATAAACCATTAGGAATATGAGATTTTTTATTATTATCATCATCTGTAATACTATTATTATTTTCATTTCTATTTAAATCATTTTTATCAATATTTGATATAAAATCAGGTTTACACACAGATGTTGGTAATACACCAAAATAACGTTGAAATTGTGCAACATGATCAGGTTTATGAAGCCAAAGAATAAACGAACGAATTTGATTCCACATTGATCTAAATCAAAATGGAAATTAATTATTCATTTTTCTTTTATCTATTCTATCGATATATAGTATAGATAGATGATACATTCATTTACATGAACATGATAAATGAAGAAAAAATTTAAAATTAAACGATCATTTTTGTGCTTGAAGAAGAAAAAGAGAGAGAATAGAATAATTATTTTATTTTTGTTTTTTCTTACACTTGTTGGAGTTCTGAAATTTAAGTTATTGATTGATTTATTGATTGATTGATTAGTGAGTCATTGTGCTTTTTTTTTGTTCATGGCTATTAATCAAAACTATTGGATGTAAATTGATATGACTTCTAGCGCCAGTTCGTTTATATATTGAGAAAAACATTTTAAGACATGATTATCATTGATACTTAATAATTCATATTCAACTATTTTTATATAGTTTTTATTTTATTCGTTGATTTTTTTTGTCATGGTAACAGTTATGGGTGATGGCGACAGTAAAGTGCATTTCTTTGTAATCGTATTAAATAATTATCGTAGGAGTTTAATTGAAGTGTGTTTTCGTGGAAAAACATAATCAAAGTTTATTATGTAATATATACTCTTATATGTCTATTTAAAATAAAGTGATAGATAATAATGTTCACATATGTCACAACTTGAAATTTTCAAGTAATTTTTCACATTCATTTGATTCTTTAGAATTATATCGTATGTTTATTAACGATTCTTATCACCAAAGTGAATATGTTGATAATCAAATATTAAGAAAAAAAGGCAAAGGAAATTGAGTATCATATATACTGTGAAGTGGGTGAAAATAAATAATTATGGTAAGTGGGAATCAATAGAGATTTCAATATAGTTTGAAATTTGATGCAATATATAACAAAGGAATGTATCATGCTAATAAAATCAAAGAAAATAAAATTTCAATAATTAAACTTAATGAAGAATCAACCGTCATCATAGTTGCTATTGTTGATTCGTCTGCAATCGTCATTCGAGTCAAAGTTGATAGTAAATTCTGTATTGATTAATAAATGCATCGATGAAAATCTTAGTAACTAACAATATAACCGATAAGAAGTGGAGAATTTCACACCAAACTGGTGTTTTATTTTTGATTGTTCGTCAGAAAATTTTGTAATTCTTTTTCATTGATTTCCTTCTAGATAGCAAACTAGCACAAGATCAAAATGCCGTGTCGAAATCCATTTACAATTCATAAAACAAAACCACGTCGATTTCCTTCTCGTTCACCATTAAAACTACTTGCTGAAGAGATGAGACGTGAACTTGGAATACAATATCAAACAATTGATGCTCGTATTGGCAATGAAAGAATGACATATGATATTGCACAAGGCGGTTGGACATCTGGTAAGTTTTCATCGATCAACTCGATAGTCATTTGTCATTATTATTATTTTTTTTTATATAGGTGGAATAGTTGATACATTCGTCGATACGAGAGGAATGACTAAATTAGAAAAATCTAAACGAGAATTAGAAGAAGATAATAAAGCTCTTCGTGCTAAAGTTGATATATTACTTGAAATGCTTGCTGAAGTCTCTACTGAACAGGAACTCCGACGAAGTGGTTAATCATCAGAGAACAATTTTTTCTACGTTTGATTTGTAATAAAAACTAATAGAAAAAAAACTCGATTTGAAGGCAACAATCTTGTTAGTGATAATTGCAAGAGAATAGCGTGAGTCGTATATTTATGAAATATTGAAAAGAGAAAATCGTTTGTTTCTTTGTTTCAAACAATATATATAAAGGCGTATTCCTTGTTTTTTTTTTGTATTAGAAAAGTTAATCGAATATAAATAGAATAGAGTGTTAAGAAAAACAAATGATCGATTGTTTAGTCACATTCTATTATGTGACAGGGATTAATTGTACATTTTTAACCGTTCTTATAGATTCATCGAGACAATAATAGGCAATATCATTATCGAACACAACACATATTTTCGTCCTTGTCTATCGTTTTTTTCAGCTTCTTACTCAATATATTAAGTAAAAATAGTAAAGAAGAACGATGATGAAGAAATCTGTGTCCTAAAATAGATAGAATAAAATAATCTCTCTGTGATTAGTAACAGCAGCTACATTGTGTTCTACATTTTAATCCTGCAGAGATTCAGAGATGGACGACCTTCCCATGGCCCATCCCAACTCTGATGAGAAAAAGCATCAACTCCGAAGTTATAGTCGCTCATTTCTGCAAGAATTGTGATAATAGCTTTTTTTATATATATACCGATATGTTTATACGTCTTTCTCTATCTTTTTATGTCAGATTGTTACGCCTTCTGGGTTTCTAGTAATTGGAATTCTGAAGTTTTCTTGTGTAGTGAGTCGTCCTAACTTGAACTATTTTTTAATGATTTATTAAACTGAAGAAGCTAGACGAAGTATCAATATAAAAAATAAGTCGAATGATAATATCAGTAGTAACATCAATTGATAATCCGTAAGAGCTTGAATCGCTTTAGATGATACTGTAATAACTTGTCGTATGGGTTTACAAGTAATTTGTCTACAGATGTTAATTTCTGACATTTACTTTGACTATTGTGACGTTGCTAACGTTGATTATAGACATCATTTTTTATTGTCGAGTAATTTATCTACTGTTGCATGTTAGAATGATGTTGAAGTTAACGTTGCCTTCTCTTAAAGATGTATTTTATCAAAAATTGGAGAAGTACAACTTGAATCCATAAAAAAAGGAAGTAGTATTAAGAGAGAAAATAATAATATATTCATTCATATTTATTGAATACTATCAAAATATATTTTACTAAAAATTAGAATGGTGATATGAGATACAATGTTTACAAGTCTATGAAAATTTCACACTAACAGTATCTATTCATTTCGGTTTATTAATAGCAAAAAAGAACAAATATTTCAGTTGATTGTATTTTTTCTAAGAAAGAAAGCTTTTTTATTGTCTAAACAAATTTTGTAAGCTTCAAAATGAGAAAATGATGAATGTAATTATTACAATCGAAGAGCCTTAAAACGTAATAACATAATCAGAATCGTATAGTGCTAACAATCTCTAATTAAAGATAGAATTATTTCAAATGAAAAATTTTCTGAATGAATTTAACTTTCAGATTTGTCCTTGTTCTTGACTTATAAGAATTAATGATATTCGTTGATTCAGACTTTGCTTCTATAGCATCCATTATTCTGCAAGATATGCTTAAAACAAACAGTCACAGATAAAAAATTTTCTGAAACAATTTTTTTTGTCAAATTTTTTGGAACGTATTATTTAAAATAAAAATATCTTCTGAAGGTTACCTTTTTTCGAAATGGTAGAAATAGTAAATCTCTTCAAAATTAAATTTGAACTATTCGATAGTTGATTTTTCTTGTTGATAATTACTGAAATATCAAATCTTTTTCGAAGATTTTATTTCCATGTTTTAATATCACCGAAAGAACATTCTAGTTTAATTGAACATGTTCTAATATTCTCGTGCTTGAAAGTAAAGGTCCGCGTCAAATTTGATATTTTAGCAGGACAGTGCACAACATCGTATACATCAATTGACATAGTAATGATAGCAGAATAATTCTCTCTCGATTATCAACCATCGAATAGTCCAAATTTTTAATTGTGGAGAGATTTACTATTTCTACCATTTCAACAAAATCCTAGAAAAAAGTTGTTTTAGAAAATATTTTATCTTTGGCTATTCATTTTCAGCAATAGAGTAAAAGTAACATTGTTAGCTAGAAAATAATTATTTATCTGACTCTTTGAAATTGGTCAGCATATAATTTCCTCTTAAGAGTTTCTTGTTTTCCCTTCGAATGACTCCCAAAACTCTACTACACTTTTATTGTAAACCAATTAGTTTTGTTTCAATAGTCAATCAAAATGCAAACTGAAAGTCACAAAATTGTATTTTTTTCTGATGTTGTTCGATATCTATTATATTCACAGAAATTTTCATCTTTTAGTTCTTTTCTTTGTCAAATAATAGATTTTCGTTTTCTGAAGAAAGGCCATACACCATACTGCTTCATGTAAAAAGATCCATTTCTACTATCGTTAATTATATGTGTTTGTAGCAATGATTTTTATATTGTTATGGAGTAGATGAAATTAGATTGGGAATCGTTTATTGAGATATAGATGAAAAGAAAAACGCGTGGGAACAGAAAAACAACGATAACGTCAATTATCACGCATTGTATATTTCATCTTCCATAGAAGATCAGTGTCTATACATATATTAGTGGGTTCTATGATTAAACTGAAAGACGTCATCGGGTGACAGCAAAAAGTTGAGGGAGAAATCCCATAAATCAACGTGGGAAACTGATTATAAAACAGAGTGAAGGAAAAAAAAATACCTATGACAGAAAGGTCGACAAATATATGTCATAGACAAGTTTAGAAAAAAACCATACATATACGTCACATATAATAGAAGATTGCCGATGATAGAATGCATGGAAAGTATCAGTAGAACAAGAATGGAAAATAACAAGTATGCAGTAAGTAGGTCACCATCGAACAATAACAATACCCTGTTACCATATAAAACTCAGTACTACAAACGCATATAATCAACAATACTGGAACTCGATCTGTTTACGTGAAGTAGTGTGCTGTATGGTCTTCCTTCAGAAAACAAAAATTTATAACTTGATAAGGAAAAGAACAAAAGAATTGGAACTTCTGTAAGTAAAATAAATGTCAAAGAACACCAGAAAAATAATTTTCTGATTTTTATTTTGCATTTTTATTGATTGTCGGATGTTTTTTTAATATCGTATGTCGTGCATTATAGAGATAAAATAAAAATACTCGTAACTTTTGAAAGAAGAGATAAGAACAGAAAATTTTTAAGGATTTATAATAAGACACTATATACAGTTGGAGACAAAAGTTTAAGTGAAATTAGTTTTTCAGTATTGTTTTTCATATTATAAGATACGGATCTGATTCAAATGGTGGTATAAATAGTATGAGAGATCGACTACATGATATATTATAGAACAAGTCTCTATCTACCTATACAGATTTTCAGCTTATTGAAAAATTTCCAATCCTAGAGCTGATCTTCGCCTCCAAAATCTGATTTTAGTGAGAACAGTCAGCAAAAAATGGCTTCGTTCTCTCGTTAATATAATTAAAAAAGAAAAGATAGTTGCGTGTCTCAAAACTTTATTGCAGAAAGACGAGCATGAAAAATCGATGATATTCGAACTTCAAATACAAGATGTTGTTCAGTTTTGAATGCTCTCTCTCTCTCTCTCTCTCTCTCTCCGATGATGTATAAAACATGGTGATAAGATGGAGTTTGTAGAATTCTATAAAAGGTGATTTTACCTTTTCGGTTTTTGCTAACTATTCTCACTAAGACCACGTTTTGGAGATGAGGATCAACTCTATGAACAGAATTTTTTTATAAACTGATAGACCATGAAATTCTCTATCGATTGATACATTTTATTTTTTTCATTCCAAAAAAAAACTCTCTTGGTTAGGAAATGCGAAATACACGAAAGTACTTAAATTTATTTTTGCATGAAAAAAATAATATTTTAATTATGAAAAATCTATATAGGCAGATAGAGCCTCGTTCTATAATATATCATGTAGCTGGTCTCTCATACTATCTGTATATCACCATTTGAATCAGATTCGTATCTCATAATATGAAAACAAAAATTCTGAGAGGACTAATTTTACTTAAATTTTTGTTCCCGATTATTGTATGTATAAGTAGAGTCATTGAAACCTGAGGAGGAGAGCATCTCAGGAGGTTCCCTCGTAAGTTAAAAGTTCGTAGGTGAACTTCTATCAAAATAAATATTAATTTAATTTCTCGTTTTTCTTATTATAATAACTGATATTTAGATAAGACACTTTGTATCCAAGTAAGCAAGATAATTCTACATCACAATTTTCATTTCTAGTCGAACAAACATGAACGTAGGAATAGCCGTGACATGTCTAAAATAAAAATATATATTGATTATTAAATATTAGTTATTTTCTTCATTAATTGAGTTGCCATTGTGCAATTAAAACCATTGTAAAGAACATGAAAGTTAAATATTTTCCGAAGATACGCCAAAAAAACAGAATTATCATTTATATGACTTATTTGTTATTAACTTTATATTCTATCCATTTTATTTGAACATTTATTGATATAATCTTTGATGTAACTAACTCAAATTGCTGTTGATCTTATATATATGTATATATCTAGGCAAACTACGTCTACTGCCATTGACTGTCATCAAGATTATGTAGCCAAATCCTATTCAAGAAAACTTGATATTTGTCTGAAAATCTAGTAAGCTATGTATATCAATGCCAACTGTTCTGTCAAGAAAAAAAAAGACATCTTGAATCATCATAAAGCTTTCATAAAGAAAACGGATACAAGTTTTATATATAAATTCTTTTTTTACCATATATACAAAAAAGAATTTATCAAAAAAGTCATTACAAATATTAACATTCTTTCTATTCTGTTTGCGATTAAAATACATTGAATGTGAACAAATCCTTATTTGTTTCTAAGGTAGCAAAATAATCTAAATGCTGGACAAGAAAAAAAAGACGATTAAAAGATATTTACTCTCAGTTCTTATATATAAAGTTAATATTATAATATTGATGTCATCAATAGAATTAGTTTTTATTTTCTAAATTTAGCAATACACAAGGATTTAAATTCAGATAATTTTAAAACTCATTTTATATGAAATACTGTAATAACTAATTAAACTAAATTAGTTTTGAATGTGTGAATTTTTTTAGATAACCATTAGCTACAAATTATCAATAATGATATATAAAAAAGTCGCTTGCTTTTTTTTTCTTATGAATATAATCACTCTAGATCAAATGATAGAAAAATAGTGCGAATAGCATATAAATCAAATTATGACAAACGTTATTCTCTTGAGACAATACATTTGTCAATTCTGTCTGCTTTTATTTTTGAATAAATAAATTAAAATAAAGATTCCTATGATAAAATTGATCAATGATTTAATAGATATTAGTAAGAACAAAACTGATGACACCATTTGATGAAGATATTTCATTGGTATTATTTATCGTAAATTAAATGAGATCTATTAATAGATTTCTAATCCATTTTAATTCTCATTATTTCTTATTTGTGAAAATATTAATTTGTGTTTTTCTTCTTCTTTTTCAGTTAAAGTCTCTAAATATTTTACAATCAAGTTATTCTTCTAAAAATATAATTTTAGATAACCTATACAGACATCTACACTATTCGACCTCCTAGACCTTTCTTTTTTTTTTCTTTGCTCTAAATGATATATTACGCCTTGAGTACGCTTGATTTTTTTTCTCCAACATGTCAATCTTATTTGTATACATACGACTATGATAGCTAGATTTGTGAGTCTTGACTATATAAGTACATCCATCTCCTTCGACATCTATATAGCGATAATATACAATAGTTTGTCCTTCCAACCCACATGCACGAACAAACGAACGACCCGAGAGGCAATGCAGTCTATTATCTTTGCAGCACCATTGCCTTCATCACATCACATCTGTTTCCCTTCGTTTGCGTGCGCTCTTGTACGTTTGACTACAGCAATGGTAAAAATTCTCTCGTTCCATACACGTTTACATCTCTTTTTCTTTTTTTTCTCGTTGTGATGATGAAGCACACCAAAAAAAAGGCTCGATGTTCTCCGTTTTTTTCCTCTCTCTCAAGCGACCAGTAAGTAAATTCTTCCTATCTAGACAAACTTCATACACATACATACATCTTTTCTCCACAAGAAAAACGTTTTAGCATCTCGTGCATACTAAATTTATATTTCAATTTGAAAGATTATGCATTTTTTATAAAATTTAGTATTATCATATAAGATTTAACAAAGTATTCTAAAAAAAAACTTCTCATTATCATATATATATATATATGCTGTTGATTGAAAATGCTTATATTCTTCTCTTTTTCTTACTGATTCTCGAGTATTATAATGAACGCACAACATGCATAGAAAAAGAAATGGCGTCGTTATCCAGATTCGTACTCGTGCGTTCGTCCGATAGCTTGCTTAACATTCTCTTTTTTTTTTCTTTTCTTGTTCGCAAATGAATAATAGATAGAAGTAAACCGGCGACGACGACGACGACAGCGACTGCAAGCTTGAAATACTATATTCTTTATGCATTTGTCGTTGAAAGAGAAGAAGAAAAAAAAGCAATGTGTGCGTCCGCGCATACATCCACGATAGGCAAAAAAGAAGAGAAAAAGCGTCCGTTTGCTTGCTCGCGCGCGCGCGCGCGCAATTCATTTTGACGAGCAAGCGCGCGAGTACAAATGGCCATGTATGTATCATGATGGCGGGATGCGGGATGCAGTACGGAAGAGAAAAGGTTGGAAGGGAACGAGGGGAAAGCAAAAGCGAGAGAAGTAAGAAAAAAAATAGAGAATGCACTAGTAAATGATCATGTCATTTGGAGTCTTCTGTCTATTGTTGTTGTTGTTGTTGATGATGATTAACATTACGGGAAAGAATAAATTCTAATATTAAATGTAATACTACAGTATACATTAAATATAAGCATCATTACCCGAATCTTTTATGTAATAAGTATACAGAGTGTCTATTCATGATTCTATGTATACTTCAAAAGTTGTTCTGTTTTTCTCGTTATATTTAATTGAATATGCGTCATCGGCAAGAAGTATAGAGCAACAAAGAAGAACGATAATTGGCTGGTTTTAATAAACTTCCTTTAGTTCGTTTTTTAATTGTTCTACATTTTTCATTGAGTTAATTCAAAGATATATTCAATTAATTATTCGTCATAAAAGCAATCGTATATGAAAAGAAAAATAACGCATCTAATATTTTCAAACATCTATTTCGTATACTATTTCTTTCTATTATATGATTGTCATCTGATTGACCTTATGAGATGTCATAAATAGACATTAGATAGATGAAATCTGTATAGATTAAATATATATAGTCGTTGTTTTTGTCAAGTCTTTCTTTTTTCTGTCCTTGTTTTTTTTTTCCTTTCATATACTATTGTTCTTTCTTCTTTCGAAGATCAAGATTATTAACAAATGAATGATTATCACTCTCTTTTACTTTTATTTATCGTCGTAATAAAGAACGATGATGTGGCATGTGATAATAGTATAAAGAAACCATATATTTTCATTCTTTTTTAAATGATTTATTCTTTGCAATCAAATAAAAAACAAATGCAAAAATTTGAACCATGTACTCATATGTCCTTTTAGGATAATTCTTTTCTTTTTTTTTTTTTATTGTTGTTGTTGTTGTTGTTTTAGATAACAAACTCTTTGTTTATCAGATGTCCTTTATTGATATAATATATATTTTTGTTCCTCCCTCTCCTTGTATGAATAGATTTCTATCATTGTTATATCTATGACAAAACAAAACAATGTAACAAGCGAAAGGGAAAAGAAAAATCTTTATTTAGCACGTGAATCTTTCGTCGTCTAAGCACATATAAACAGAAAGGAAAAAAGAAATAATAGTATAGTTCACTCATCGTCCGAATTCGATGGGGCAAATGTTCGTTGTATATATGTCGATTTTCAGTCAGTCAGTCAGTCAGCTACTAGTAGTAATGGTAAATGTGTGTGTGTGCGTAACTGAGTGCATATCTTTCCTACATATTTTCGAATAGTTACAATTTCATATATGTGAAAAGGAAAGAAAAAAAAAAGAAAATATATTTTATTTATTCTAGATTCGATGAATCGACCTCTTTTTCGAGCACGAAATCTTGATCCAAATAAACGTATACGATTGCTCGTTGATCAACATGATGATAACAATAATGATCTTAGTGATTCATCAACAAAATCAGCATCTAGTAACAATCTTTTCGTTTCTATTTCGTCTACATCCACAAATCAGACAATTCAACAATCAACTGGATCAACTTCACAATTACCACAACGATGTGTATCACAAATGCCATTTGTATCGGGCATGGAACGAGAAGAAGAAGCGGTAGAAAATATTTTTTATTTTTCATAGCATTTTAATCCCTAAAGAAATTTTTCTCACTTCGAATAACAAAATCTTTTAGATTGAATTTTAAAAAAATAATGCATAATTGATTTAGCAAAAAATTTTATTTTACTGTTCTCATAAAATTCTATATAATCTACTCGTTTATTTATATATATATATATGATTTGCTTTGGAATCGAGTTTAAAAAAGTTCGAGATGGATATGAGTTCATTTCTTAGGAAATCTCCTATACAATAGAGTAAGCAACATTTGATACTATGTAAAAAAACAAAGTTTTTCATCGTGTCTTGAAAAACAATATATTTTCTTCTAGGAATATCACCTTCAAAATGCTCTCGATGCTCAATCTCGACTTGGTTCAGCTAAAATTCGTGCTGTACCAATACCTGATCTATACGAAGATCGAAATAGTCAATCCATATATCCAGCTAATATTGTATTACCTAAACAACTTATTCGTTTGCAACGTATATATCGACAAAATTATCTATTGTGTTATTTTTTTTTCAGC